TAAATTAAATTAAATTAAATTAAATTAAATTAAATTAAATTAAATTAAATTAAATTAAATTAAATTAAATTAAATTAAATTAAATTAAATTAAATTAAATTAAATTAAATTAAATTAAATTAAATTAAATTAAATTAAATTAAATTAAATTAAATTATAAAAAAAAAAAATACAAATAAATACAATACAAATAAACAGATGTTATTAATGCCTAAATAAATATACCAGAGTAATTAAACAATTTACATCTTAAATTAGAATAAAACTGACATACATTTAGACAAGTCAACTATATAATTAAGGCAGATCTGAACAGAAAGGCTGAGCCTTTTTCCTCAGGGAAAATATTTTTCATAAATGTCGGGTTAGGGAAATTTGTCACATGTGTTTTATATGTTTTTTTAATATATATTTTATATTCATTAACACTACATTTATTAAATGCAGTTTCTGAAAGCCAAAACAATGATCTAAGTTCATTATTGCTGCTCCATGATTTTTATTTCATGTTTAAATTGTGCTATAATGCCATTAAAATCATTATACACTTTAAACACAAATAAGTTGTGGAAAATAAATAAGTTGTTTAAACACAAACAAGTTATAATTTTTCATACAATAAGGTCCCATTATTTTATGTCAATGCATTTAATAATATTAACAAAAAATAGCAATACATTTGTTACAGTGTTTAATAGTCTTAGAACTGGTTAATAAAAAAATAAGTATTCATTGTTAATGTTAGCTCAGGTCCAATAAATATTCATATCAAAAGATATGATAAAAGACTCAAGATAAAACATATTTTATATTAAAAAAGTATATATAAAAAAATGTAAACTTTCGATTTATTTTTTATTTTTAAGTTAATGTTTAAACTAAGATCCACTAAGATTAATAAATACTTTATGAGAATTTGTTATTGCTAGATCATGTTAACTAATGCAGTAATGTTAACAAATGAAAGCTTATTGTAAAGTGTTAGCAGCTGTTCTTCAAACAGCAGGTTCCTACTGTGACAACTTGCCCCTATAGGCTCAGCAAGTGTTAAATGACTGGTATTATTATTATTATTATTATTATTATTAATAATAGGTCAAAAAAGGAGGGAATGTTTAAGCGTTTAAGTGTTTTTGTTATGAGGTTTAGGAGCATTCAGGGTGATGCGGTGTAGTGTTTGTGAGCCTGTGATCTCATATCCTCCACAGCACCTCCAGGTAGGGCACTCCCTTCTCCAGGGACTGGCCGAACTCTCGAAGCAAGCGCTCCTCCTCCAGGAACTTGGCATCTCGTCCGTCTCCAGCTGGCTGGAAGAGGCCGTAATTGTAAACGTCCCACAACGACTCGCTGAGAGAACAAATAATCTGCTGCTTCGCACTCCAAACGCTTGAATCGGGATCAAACCGCAAACACTTCTACAGACGGAGAGAGAGAAAACCGGTTCATGAGAACAACAGATTGAACTGGATTTAAAGTTCAAAATAACTTTCAGCTTTATTGACGGCATCTGTGATGTGTCGTCGTTCACCACAGAGCTTCATTTGAATTCATAACTCATAAAAGTCCTGTTTACAGTAATGTATTTACAATAGATGTCTACTGAAAAGACATTCTGGAGGTTTACAAGCAGAAACGTGCAACCTCTATATCTGCATGCAAAATCTTCATTGTAAATGCATTTTTTTTTTAAACTATAAATCCATTATCCAAAATTATTATTTTATTTTTATTTATTTGACAATTATAAAAATCTACAAATATAAAAATAAAATTATGAATATTTATTTATATTTATTTGAATAAACAATAAAACAACAAAAATAAAAATTACACTACAAATACAAAAATAAATAATAATAATATAATCTATTTTAAATGGTTATTTCAATTTATTTGACACAATTATTATTAAAAAATTATATTAATTCATAAAATAAAATTAATTTATAATAATAATGACATTATGGTGCCATATTATCGTTATTGATAGAAGTAAAATTATTATTGGTAAACGCAAATATCTGTAGCTGCAAAATTAAAGAAGTGATGGAGTGGAGAATTTGTCAAAATGATAATCGGCCAGCCGTTAGCACACATTGCGAGTGCATGTGAATGTGTGTGAAGAGAAATGCGCAGACCGTTTGTTTGATGTCAGGGATGCCGATGCGGAACACAATCACGGCGAATTGCGAGTCTTCCACAGGGGTCACTGAGGTCATGCTGCGCTCCATCAGACGCCGCCGGGCCTGCTGATTGGTCAAGACCGGGTGATACAGCGGCTGATTGGTTGTCTGATGATAAAGAGTCGGCTGACTGGGTAAATGCGGGATTCCTCTTTGGGCAGAGTTAACGGCCCTGGGCTGCCTATCTCCTCTCTGCCATCCAATCACAACGGCCGCCGGTTTGTATCCATCCGACTTGTGTCCGGCCCGGTTCTGGTGTTCCTTGTCTCCCATACCGATCATCCCATTTTGTTTCAATCTCTTCAATCTCTCCTCATCATCCTCCTCATCCTCGCCCTCTTTGTCTTCGGCGCTGCCAAAAAAACGCTTGGTGTTTCCCAGCATCCTTTGCTGCACCGTGTCAGCAAGCAATGTTGATGTCATGGCGCTGAGTCATGCTGCTTATCGGCATACAGCTTAATATTAAACAGACTGAAAAAGAAAAGAAACATAAAATAATCAGTGCAATGCAATGCATTTCATTTTACTGATATTAAAAAAAAAATCCAATTCCATAAACAGACAGTATAAAGGCACACCTATAGAAACCAGAAAATATTTTGACTTGGACCAGTAAGAAACCACAGCAATGCACTAACAACAACTCAAAACACCCTGGCAACACAATAACCATTCAAACACCATAGCAACGCACTGACAACCATTAAGAACACCCTAGCAATGCACTAACAACCACTCAACACCCTAGAAACACCCTAACAACCACTCAATTAGTGATCGACCGATATTGATTTTTTTTATAACCGATACCGATACCAATTATTTGCATGTTTATGTGCCCGATAACCGATATGCAGAACCGATATGTATTTACTGTTATAAAGTAAATAAATGACTAAGTGAAGTAAGAACATACTTCACTTTGGTTTTTCCTCTTTTCAGTCATCTTTTTTTTTTAAGTGTTGAAAATTAGCAGTCATTCATGTTAAAATTAATCTTCATACTACAACAATAAAAAAAACATTTTATTTATAAAAAGCATCAACAGCAACAACACTAATATTAACAATAGGAAAAATAAATGTCTAATGTTTTCAAATGGAGAAAATAAATAAAGGACAGGAGTCATATCAACTTCATTTTAAACAGTTTTAGTAGGTTTCTAAGCTGTTTAATAGCTACAGAGTCAATAATAATTCACTGGATAATGTTAATTCACTGAATAATATTCTCTGGAATATTGGAATATAACAAACAAAACATCGTATTTTATTGTGACAGCGTGGTTTATCTATGCAGTTACACAGAACTATACTCAAACTGCGATCGCTCGCGGAGATAATAAATCATTCATTTCCATAGAGTTGTATTTATTTAGATGTTTATTAGCGGAATATTGGTTATATAGTAAATGTTAATACAATTTAGGGCATTTTA